TCGTTTGGTTGTTGATTGGCTTCTGGGGAGCCACTCAATCATGAGGCTCTAACTCACCAGCAATGGCATCCCTGGAAGGTGTGGAGACACAGGAAGGATTTAGTTGAAGGTATGTGGGGGGGGGGGGCGTGACTATGTGTGGCCCCTGGCTTCTTTCCTCTCTGGCTCTTTCCTTCTCTGTCTTGGCTTTCTGGAGGCCATGAGGTGAGCAGCTTCTCTCCGCCAAGCCCTTCTGCCATGAGAATGTGCCTCACCTGGGCCACAGCAAGGAGACTGGCCCACCATGGACTGAGTCCTTTAAACGAGGAGCCAACGCAACCTTCTCTCTTGAGTTTCTAGAGCCTATGTGTGTGTCACAGTGATGAAAAGCTGACTGACATGTTCAAGTACCTGGGATATTTACTCAAAGCAGAAAGCTAAGCATTGTTTTTGTGATTAATATTCTCCTCTAGGGGGGCTGGGGATTTAGCTCAGCAGCATAAGCACCTGCCTTGCTAGCAGGCAGTCGTGAGTTCGATACCCGGTACCAATAAAAATGAAAAAAAGACAAAAAAAAAAAAATATATTCTCCTCTAGGACATCGCTTTTCCTAGGAATTAGAGAGAACTCACTGGCCCTCTATAGCAACTCTCAGATGGTAAAGCTTTTTTTTTCTCTCTCTCTCTCTTTGGCCACAATAATCCAGAAAGCAGAAATCCTCTATCATCTGCCTCTTCCCTAAATGCACAAAATTTCATTTAGCTCCCGCCCAGTCTATGCTGGACTCTGCACAGACTGAGCCTCCTCTGGACTCCTAGTTTAACTAACTTTGAGGATAAACTCCAATGTCTTAAGATGTCTAATCTAGTAATAGGTTACCTCTTCCCCACCTCACTTTGCCTCCATAGCACACACACACACACACACACACACACACACACACACACACGCATTCACACTCATTCACATACACACAAACACACAACACAACCCACTTGAGGCATACTTACCACTTTTCAAGACACATGTTGTAGACTTTTTTTTGTTTTTTGGTGGTGATCAAACTCAGGACTTCATGCTTGCCAGGCAGGTACTTAGGTCACTGAGCTAAATTCCTGGCCCATCAAGACACACATTAATCTCTGAAAATGAGATTTATCTGAAAATCACTGCAGAATGGGCAGCAGGGGCACCCAGTTTTCTAGACACATGTGCACAGAGCTGAAAAGTGCCAGCTTCAAACTTTCCAGAATGGCTTGAAAAGAACATCCCAGAACAACCCTGGACTGGCCCTTTAAACCCAATGACCAAATGGTTAAGGCAGGGTGGTGGACAGTCACTGATCAAGGTCACCTGAGTGGGAATCAAAAGCAGGCTCATACTACAAAGATGTGTACCAGGTTAGGGGGCCACTCCCAGCTTTTCCATCTCCCATGAATTCTTTTAAGAAACGCTGCACCTCCAGTGCGCCCCACTGGGTCATGTGGAAAACTCACGATGTCCCTGCCTCTGAATCAAAGAAAGATTTTCAGATGCACTGGACCCTAAAGGAGGGGTTCCCATCACACCAACTGCAGCTTATTTTGCAGATGAGTTTGCCATGCTGCATTTATACTGATTCTGCTGTAGTTGGGAGAGAACTTGATGATAAAAATATTCAATTCAGCGTAAAGGTACTCCTTCAGAAGCTATTAAACCCTAACCAATAAGAACACCTTGTGATACCATTTAATGGACAGCAACTCTTTCTTTCTCAAAAATAAGGTGCATCTGAAAATCCATGGGATCTCAGAGTTGAATAAACACAGCAGAACTACTTTTTCCCTCGCTGCCCTGGACATCCAGACTTGCAGCTGCTCTCGTGTCCCTCCCAGCGCACCTCGCCCTGGCTTATCTCTCCCGCCCACCAACTCCTATGCTTGGGCATGTAGCTTCGGTGCCCCCCCCAGCCTCCCACCCTGCGAGCTACCCTGCTGGGTGCACCCAGGCTTTAACTCTCACAATTATCCTGCGTTGTAACCGCCAGCTTAATTTCCACCCCCGCCCACCCAGGCTCTGCATCCTTAAAATGAAGAACTTGTCTGTCTTGCTCACAGTGTGCTGGTGAGGCTGCTTCTCTGTAAACATTCGCTCACCTAGGAACACACGAACACATCACAGGAATGGCTAGCTGCATGGCTTGGCTTGTACGTGCGAGTAAGAACGTTCCTACCACCTTGCATGGCAAAGCCATTACATTTTTTTCTCCAGCATGAATAAACTAAGGCACAGACAGACAGCGGACAGTTCACGACTCTCTCAGGCGGCCGATGTTGCCATCCCGGCTCAGGGAAAGGGGGCGCAGGGCAAGAAAGAGGCGTCAGAATTTCCTTAGAGAACCCAGCCAGCAGGGGTGCAGCTGAGTTTGGAAGCCAGGCAAGCCCCAGGATTTGCATCCTTCACCGTATCTGGCAGAGGCTGATACCTGAGCTCCAGATATTTAGCACCCTCCTAACGAGCAAATCAGTTGAAAGAATATGTCTCCAAGCTGATCCAAGACAAAGCTTTCTCTGTTGAATGTTAATGCTAGCAAAAACCAGAATGAGGACCCAGAGGGTTGCAACCACTATGCTGTCTCAGGATCGAGGCGCCCTGCTCCAGCACCACCCTCTCTCGGTAACTACACCGTTCTGGGGGAGTTGATTCTCTTCCAAACCTCAGTTTCCCATCTAGTTTTTTTTGTTTTTTTTTTTTAAGTGAGGTCATGGGAATGAGCCCTTAAAACCCTGTGGTTACATCTGTCACTGGTATCCGTTCCTATCACAGAGATTAACGGACACCAAGTGGGAGAAGGCCCCCCAGGCCAAATATTGAATCTGAGGCTTTCACTTGAGCCCCAGTGTTTGTTCTACAAAACTCAAATAATGTTCAGGCCAAGGTGGAGAGCTCTCGATCCTGCGATCCTGCAACCAAAAGCCATCTTCACCCACTCTGCACGGTGTTTGCTTGTCTCAGTGGGACTGGGGATACCCAGACTTGGGTTCCCAGCCCCAGCGAGGGGGGCTGTTGGGAGAAGTCTATGCCCGGAGGGGGCGGCGAGCTGCGCATGACTCACACGGCTGCTTCGTTCCAACGCTAGGCCGGAGGCGCAAGTGGAAACTTGCCCGAGTCCAACGCAATCACAAGACTCCAGCTTCGCCGTGGAGGAAAACAAGGCTCTCACCAGATGTGGGTCAGAGCTGCTGCCCCTGGGAGGGCTGGACGTTCACACCAGGGTCCCCGGAGTGCTGCAGGGTCCCCGGTGCCCTGGCTGCAGGGCCACCAGGCAGCTGAAACTCCTGTTTACCCAAACCTTTCAAGCATTGTTTTGCTAACAGGCAGGGAAACGCTGCCTACTTCTTGTCTTGACTTGGTAGAAAGGGAAAGGCTATAGGTTATTCCTAGCTGGGCCTCCAGAGCTGTATTGCCAGTCCAGGGCAGCCAGTGTTTTTGGGATGTATGCCTGGCCTTAGACAAACATGAATGAATAGCTCTCTCTCTTAACGGCTGAGTTCTCTCACCTCTAAAACATGAAAATTATAATGCTCAGGCTTGGGGAGTCAGGGAGATAACAAGCGTTCCGGCACACCGCCAGGCGCTTAATGAGTGCGGGCGGGCTAGTTCTCCCAGGAAGGTCACCGAAGGTCATTGCCCAGCGTTGTAGAACCCCTGCTACAAGACCATGGGCCTGGATAGCACACCGACCCAGGCATGAGGTGGGGAGGTCTGATGCCAGTTGCACCTCCTCTTTCTCATCTGTAGAATGGGAATAACATGCCTGTGTCACAGTTACCCTGAGGATGAAGCAGGATACTTCTGCTACCTACTGTGGAAGGTTCAGCTCAGCCTACTGCCAGGCACCGAGGCTCAGTATTACTAGGGTTTGCTTCTTGTTAAGGACCCACTGCTGAGCAGGGAGACTGGGCGGAACCATTCTGCCTGCTGACTTCCAGGAGATCTTTTCTGACCCGTTATCAGCAATGTCGGAAGCATCAGACCCCGTCGATCCTGTGGTGCCCTCACCTGTGAGCGTGCAGCCCCAGCTGCTCTGTCCTGTCGGCCCCTTCCTCCTTCCAGAGAGAGCGAATTACTGGTGTGATGGGTCAGACACTGCAGGTCATTTTTTGTGTCAGATTTTCTTTGGGGCCAAATTATTGTGTATTAAAGGTACAAATCCATCTGTTCTTTATCTCCTCCTTGGTCTAGAGTCTACCATATCTTTCAAGGCTTGCTGCAAATCCCTTGATGCATCAACTTGGATGGATTCAGAGCTGCCTAGAGTGACCTTTCCTGAACAGGTGGCTTTGTGCTCCCCCTCTTCACGCCTGTGGCTTTGAAGATGGACACTCCAAGCGCAAGGGCACCCTGCCCTGGTGCCCTTGGGGAGACGGGGTAAGGAAGCCTGAGAAGCTGCTCAGCCTTCCAGCTCCTTCCCTCCCCACGGCCGCTGCGCAGTCTGCGTACCCTACCCTCACTCCCAAGGGAACTCAGCTGGGCTGTCACTCATGCTAGCAGTGTGGCACGTATGCTCTGCCCACAGGAGAGCCACAAACCATCTGGGCTCTGTTCTGGGCTGGTACAACACAGGGCACATCAGGGGCTGGGGAAGGGCAGCTGGGAGAACATCGAGCAGGTATCAGGTGCCAGGGTGCACCAGTACCCCACCTTCGCCACTCCGGGGATGCTGATCAGTCCGAAGATGCTCTCGACTTTACATCCACACTTTGAAGGTACTGGCTTCCAAATTACCAACGCATGACACATTTGAGATAGAAGCATCCCTGTGGGTGTGAACTAAAATCACCAGCACTGTCACGGAAACAGGACTTCTTCCCTGAACTGCAGTGTCCCAGGACGCCCGAGGAGAGGCAGGCAGAAGCAGAGTCCAGAACCCACGCTGATTTTAGTGAGAAAAGGTCTCATCGCCCTGTGAGTACTGCCTCCCAGGGACTCTGCCCTGGAAGCTCTGAAATGGGAAGCCAGGGATTGAGCACAAAACACCCTCAGTCTTCACAGTTTTATTCTCCAGAAACAAAACTGTTGGTTTGTGTAAGAGCAAAAGAATTCTGTCTTCAAACCAGGTCTCTCTGTGATTGGAATCCAAAAACAGAACATAACAAAAGAGAATCGTTATCAACATATTCATGGAATTTTTTTTTAAAAAATCACCATGAGTTTAAAGGTCTGTGTTTTCATAAGAAACCATTCTTGTCTCTTGGAATGCTGCAGATCTCACAAACTCTTCGTAATCATCAGCTAGGAAAGGAAGCTCCGATCCGCCAGGCTCTTTCCAGTCCCCAAGGCTGCCGACTCCAAGTGCAGGTGGCCAGCAAGGTGGGGAGGAAGACAGTGCCAAGCAGCATCCTGGCATAGAGCTTTTACATGCTGCTGTGGTCTCCTTTCCAATCACGACCTCCACAGAGCTCTTCGCTTCTAAATTTAGTTTTTAAAGCATGTTTCATTTCACGGATCACGTGACACTGTCCTGGGGTCACTCGGCCTCCAGCTTGATGTGGGTAAAATCGCTGTCTTCCCGTGGAGTCGTGGAATGTTACTACATGGTGTTGTCTTTACAGCTGGGAAACGGAGCACAAAATACACCATTAAAATTCAGTTATGGAAGGCATCATCCTGCAAGCAGCCAGTCTCAGAAGGCGATACTGTCTGGGTGCCATCACAGCACCCTCTACAGTGACAAAACCGTAGTGACAAGGACTGGAGCCCTGGTTCTGGGGGGGGGGGGGCGGATAGGAATTTGGGGGAGACGGATTTGCTCTGCACTCTGATTTGCGATATCAGTGGCCCCAGTCTATACCCAGAGGACTGTACCCCTGACACTGTCAGTGATGATCATAAAGTAAATTAACCAAAGGCGGGGAAATCACATCATAAATCCCATGCGGCCGACGTGCTGTCTTAGCACACGAAGCGTCACGGCTGTGTTCAGGGAAGGACAGAAAGCCTTGAGGCAGCTTGAGTCTGAGTGTCACAGCACGCAGGTGCTGCAGGCATCCTTATCACAGGGCCATCGCTGCAGCCTCCCTTCTGCATCTCCAGAAAACTCTGCCGAGTTCTCAGATTTCTTCCATGCGCAGCGATTATGGTAAAGCTACCACTGTGCCAAAAGCCCCACATCCAGTACCCAGCACAGGGACCTCTGGTGTTCAGACGAGATTCCCTCCTGAGCCCAGTGTGACCTCTGACTCAGTGACTGCTGCTGCTTGGTAGGAAAGAGTACATGGGTTGAACCCTGAAGCCTCTCATCTGCATTACAAAGAAATCCAGTTAGAAAGCCTGGCGTGGTGGCATGGGCCTGTAATCTCAGCACTTGAGAGACTGAGGCAGGAAGATCATGAGTTCAAGGCCAGCCTGGACTATATAGGGAGACCCTGTATAAACAAACAAACAGAAGAAATCCAGTTAGAAAACCTGAGTGTCCTGTCCCAAACACTGTGTGTCCCGGAGACACCGGCCACAGAGAAAGAGATACCTTAGCTCCCGAGGAGACTGCAAGCTTGTTTTTCTGGTTGGCTGTGCAGGGCCGGAGGGGAGAGGCAGGCCCCACTTCCTCGTAACTCCTTCCCAGCCAGGCACGTTGAGCTCGGTCTCTTCACTTGTAACAAAGGGGACAATAGTTTCGCAAGAGGCTGTATGGAGACTGGTCAGAGGATACACACCAGCATGCAGAATCCACCCTACCCTGCACAGAGTCAGCTCGGGAACCCTAACTGTCGTCATTACTGCTCAGAAAGGTCATCCCCCAGCCCCGAGGCCAAGCGTGTGTCTGTGGAGAAGCCAAGGTAAAAGGCAGAAAATGCTGCACCGGAAGCCAAATGATATGGTCTGAGTTTCACCCTCCAATTTCATAATATCTATTAAAAAAAACTTGTATAAATCACACTAGGGTTAATGTCAGCTCAGACCTTCTCATGCACTGATGACACTCCATAACATACCTGTCAGAAATCCCAGTTTAAAAAAAAAAAAATAGAAGATCTGTACAGAATTGTGAATGAACATCCAATTGAAAGCTAAAGAAAACGCTTATCGCTGGAGCCCAGGCCGACCTCTGCCTAAAAGCCTGTGATACAGGTTTTCTGTCACCGGGGGGCGCGCGGCGCTCGATTGTAAAATACCCATCTGGGCTTTGGGTTTTAGTCGGTTGATTTGTAGCTAAGGAATAAAACAATCACCTTCACTTGACAGTCGGTAGCTGAGGAGGTGAAGCCTCAAGACAGAGTGGGTAAAGGGAAAGTCCACTTGACCAGCCTGATGCCCTTTCTTCCCATCTGTGTTCCCCAAGATTAGCCCCGTGCCGACCTACACCCTACTTCCTCTGGTCACTGCATTCGGAGCCTCTTTTCCTCCTGCGCTCTTGCACCTGGCTCTCCCAGTTCCTGAGTCCTAGGCACAGACCTCCAGCAGGAAGTGAACCTGGTCCTTCCGGATATAGTTCAGGTGGGGCACCGCACCTGCCTGCAGCAGCCTGCAATCCTCTCTGAGCTCTGGAAGATTCTTCTCCTCCAGAGCTGTGATGAGAACAGTATAAAAGGTAGAAATGCTGCTTCCCACCCTGCCGGTTTTAACTGAAACCCTAATGTCTGCTGGCCTTGGGAAATGGGAGTGAGATGGGGTTGCTGCCCTGGACGAGCTCCCAGACTAATTAGTGCAGCTTCAGCACAGAAGGGACAGGAACGGACTCAGAGAAGTGAAGTCTTCGAAGGAACTTCAGAGACTGAGTCTCAAGCATGAAGCCTTCTCCTCTCTTACTACTGCAGGCATCTGCGGGAAGTTCTGTGCTGAAACCCAAAGAGATGCCAATGGGATGCCCAGGGAGACGGAACACCATAAGCAGCCGCTCGTAAAAGGAGGAAGACCATGTCCGCGTCTCCACCAATCTCAATTTCCACACGGGCCCCACCTGCTTGGTTTTCCACTGGGGCACTCAGGTCCACAGAAGGAAGAGGACCTTGTCAGGGGACCCAGCTAGGAGACCGGGGCAAGCTTCCAAAGCATCAGAACCAGGGGCAGCTCAGTCCGTGGCGAAGGGGACAGTCCTGAGTCTGAAACCAATATGTTTCTTTGTTTTCCATTATTTCCCTATGCGAGTTGTGCTATGTACTCAGAGCTCTGTGTAACGCACGTGAGGAGCAAAGCATAAAGGTGTAAGGTGGAGAAGCTCTGTGGGTGCCTCTCCTTGCCTGCCAGAAAGCACCCAAGACCCTCACTGCTCCCTCTCCCGTTAGTCTCCCCGATTCCCATGGCTCGGGGGAAGAGGGGTTCTGTGACCTCCTCTCTCACCTACTGCAGGTCTCCCCAAATCAGCAGATTGTCAGGAACAGGAGCACGGACCCCATGCCACCCCTGAAGCCCTGTGGTGCCTGGGTACCAGCAGCTGGGCTCCCTGTCACCACCCTCATGTGTCCTTCCTCATGGTACATCACCTTGGCAGCTTGAGACAGCCTTTGTGCCATTGATGGCAACAGAGAACCGGCACACACCCCAAGACACCCTCTCCCTCCCACATGCCTCTGTGAAACATTCACCAGTGCACGCTGCACACCTGCCTGGTAAGGTCCCAGTTTCCGGTACCCTGTGATGACCTCGGTTCCAGAGACAACATAGCCCAGATCTGTGTGCGGCTTCTGAAGTAGCCTAAAACACTTGAGGTGCAAGGTGGAGTCTGTTGTTGGTCTTGTACTCCGTGGTCAGGCAGACCTCAGCCTCCTGTCTATACATGGGGGACCCCACCCTGGCCTCCCGCCCTGGACCCTGCTTCCTGTTGCTCCTGGCACCATGGCCACCGCACCCAGGAGATGGGAGTAATTACTTAGCCCTCTACCCATACAGAGCTGGACTGTGCTCCAGTAAGGACACGAGAACTTGTGTTTGTTTGCAAGAGAACCCACTGGGACATCCATATGCGGAAGGGAAGGAGAATCATCCATGGCTTCCCATCCACTGGGGTAGAAAAACCCTCTTACAAAGAGTCAGTTGTGCTCACATCAATGTATAACAGTGATGAGTGGCAAAAGGTAAAGCTGAATTCAAAAAAAAGCAGCAAGATGAGGAAAAAAATACGTTTCTCAGAATTCTGTCCAGAAAACAAAATGCATTACTGGAGAGAGGGTGGCGAAGACTCGGGTGGGGTCAGGTCGACCTCCCACGGCAGCATCGGAGCCCACGGGAGCTAAGCTATGTGTGAGGCCTGGGTTGGACCTTTCTTAGGCCAGAGCTGAAGCGCTGGTGGCCACAATGGGCAGGCTGGGCACTGCGTCCTGCCCTTTCCTCGCCTCTCCGCTCTGGTTGGTGAACAGAACCGGCCAGGCGTATTCTCTGAGCATCCGGAACACAGTGACCCACTCAGGAGGCTCAGGATCTGACCCAGCCCCGGATGCAGGATCAGGGCAGCATGGAGTTTCTCCTGTTCAGTGCTCTGCTCCCCTGACCAGCACCGGGGCCCTGCTGTTACAGGCAGCGGAGTGAGTTAGAGATATTCTAGGCAGTCCAGACAGGGCTGGGCCCTCGGAGGAGCCAGTGCAGAAGACCACAGATACTTTGCAGCCTTGGAGGAGACAGACACCTCTGCTGTGGGCCAGATCTCAGTACAAAAGACAAAGCAAATGCAACCACAGCCTAAGTATAAACACCAGGGATTGATACTCTAAATAGGTATGGATCACCTTGCGGCAGCCAGGAGCCATCATCCCAACCCTTTATGAACAGAGTCACTGCTCTTTGAGTGTGCTCGCTTGCTGTATGACTAACTTCCCCATTTGTCCCTGATTTGGCCAATTTTCCCTGAGCAATTAATCTTATTGATTGACCACAGTTCTGTCCCACCTTGTGAGTTTCCATCTTTTTTCCCCACCTTGGACCCACCTTACCTCATGCTCTACAAAGTCCCAAGAAAAGACAGTCTTTGGTAACCCTCTCCGGACCCCTTCCATCTCTCTCTCCATCTTCTGTCTTTCTTTCTCTCCATAAATATACTTTACTCTTAGCCTCCATTGTTCCTAAAATTCGTTCTTTGATTTTAAAGGCCACAAACCCGTACCTGACATCCAGTAGGCTGGGAGTTTCATTCCCCTGTATCCCCAGGGCTTTGTGCTACCCAAATGATTCCTGTGGGCAGCTCCTCCTCACCTGAGCCACCACAGCCTCTCGCTTGCCTGGACCGCGGATACAGCAGCTTCCTGACGCATGCCCACGTCCACTCCATGCTCTTCCACGCACTACCCTCCTTCCCTGCTGTGTTCTGCAATCTGGGTCACCACACCCTTTTCTTCACACTCCGCCAGCGCCTAGAACAGAATCCGAGACCCTCAGCATTGGCCCGCAAACCTAGCTGCTCTACAGTTTTCTCCAAACAGACCATCTGCCACGTTCCTTCCCTCCCAGATGCCAGCCACAAAGATTTTCCTTCCCTTTCTCACTGTCACAGCTGTGCCAGGGCCCGCCCTCCCCAAGTCTGCAGAAGGCTGGCTCCTTATCTCAGTGCAAAGGTCACGGTCTCCAAAAGGCCTTCCTGATTACTGGTAAAATTCCCCTGCAGCTTTCTCTCTAGCTTGCACTGTATTACTTTCTTCCTATTCTTTATCACCAACTGAAATTGTATCATTAACAGCTCTTCCTTCACACATTTATTGTCTATGTTTTCCTCTAGCGTCTGAGTCATGAAATCAGCAAAGACCTTGTTCTCATTCGTGTCTCTGGCAGCCGGCACAACACCTGCTGATGGTAACCAGTCCACAGACATTGGCTGGAGAAATTAAGGAATTTCCGGTTGTTGATGTAAGCTCTGGATGTTAACAGAGGCACTGCGCCCTATTAGGAATAACGATGCTTATAAATACATTGTCTAACCGATCTTCTTCCCCATGGAGAGGGAGACACAGAGATGTTAGCTTCACCCCTGGACTGAGGTCAGAAATTCCAAAAAACTCCTTCCCTTACTCTATGAAGGCAGCTGTCCTTAACTCTGCTTCTCCCAGGGTACATTATCTTGCTGATTCCTGGATGTGGAGAACAGGCTGGGGCCCGATCAGAGACACCGGTTCCTCCTCCACACGGAAAGCTGATGACCAGAGGGTTCCAGCGTGTAGTCTCCCTCCCTCAGCCATCCCCACCTTGGTGCCATACCTCACCGGCTGTTTGTGTGTGTGTGTGTGTCCCTCCACGTTGTGCTGCCATGGCCAGGAAGCTCCTAATCTCCTTGGCTATCAACTCCTGTTCTATTTTAGTCCTGGGGATTTTCTCGCCCCCCCCCCCAGTCTCTGAAGAAACCTAAATTAGGCAAAGCAGGTTTGGTCTGTTTATTTTCAGGTTCCCTTAAAGGGGAATCTCAATGACAATCAGATTAGAAGATGCCATTCTCCTTCCCTCTTTCTCAAAGAGAAACTCATCCCTGGTTGGAACCCCAAATCCAAGATCCGATCTTTAGTGCGAACGCTGATATCCTCCAGGTCTTGCTGAGCCTGCCCTGAAAAGACAGTGTTAAGGAAAATTGATGGTCGACCTCTCTACACCACTGCTGATGCAGTAAAGAATGTTCCCTGAGGGGCTGGGGGTTTAGCTCAGCGGCATAAGCACCTGCCTTGCAAGCAGGCGGTCGTGAGTTCGATCCCCGGTACCGATAAAAATGAAAAAAGACCAAAAAAAAAAAAAAAAAAAAGAATGTTCCCTGAGCTCTCTTCCCCATAGCACACAGGAAAGAGCACTGTGTTTGGTGGCCTGTTAGTGGATCTGTTAGATGAGAAACCTTATTCAATATCATTCTTGAAATTTTAGCTACAGCGAGTAGTGCAAAGGAAAAATTAGGGCTACAAATAGAAAAGAAAAAAGTCAAATCACCCTTGTTTACAATTATGACCCAATATTTAGAAGGCCCTAAAGGCTTTACTAAAATCCATTTCAATCTGCAAATGAATTCAGCAAAGTAGCAGGATTTAAAAATCAACATGAAAAACTCAATAGTTTACTATTGATAATAAACTAACTGAGGGAAAAAAATCAGGAAAACAATGCTGTCCACAAAACTTCAAAGAAAATAAAATACCTAGGGGTTGATCTACCAAGTAATTGAAAGACCTCCACGATAAAAATTTCAGAACACTGAAGAAGAAATTAAACAAGATACCAGAAGATGTAAAGATATCCCATGTTCATGGATTGGGAGGATTCATATTGTCAAAATGACCCTAGTACAAAAAGCAACCTGCAGATTTAATGCAATCCCTGTAAAAATACTGACATTGCTCAGGAACACTGGAAAAAATCCTGAAATGGAAGCACAAAAGACCCAGAATTATCAAAGCAATCCTAAATAAAAAGGCAGAAAGTATCATAATCTCCAATTTCAAGTTATACTACAAAGTCATAGTAAAAAAAAAAAAAAAAAAAAAAAAACCCAGAATGTTATTGGCACAAAAATAGACCTGTAGATCAATGACACAGAGCAGAGACAAAAACAAACCCACACAACTGCCCATCTGATTCTGGACAAAAAAGCTAAAAATATACATTGGATAAATGACAGCCTCTTTAGCAAAAGGTCCTTGGGAAACAGGAATCCACTTGTGGAAGACTGAAACCAGAGCCCTATCTCTTACTCTGCATAAAAATCAATTCAAAACAGATCAGAGACCTAGATATAAGACCCCAAACTTTTAAACTGCTAAAAGAAAGCACACAGGAAGCATTGAAGCTACAGACACACGCAAACATTTCTTGACTAGTAATTCAATAGCTTAGGCAACAATAGCAAGAATCCACACGTAGGACGACATTAAACCAGAAAGTTTCTGTCTGTACAGCATGGGGAACAACTAATGGCTCCTGCTTCCAAAAGGGGAGAAAATCCTTCCCAGCTGCTCTTCCAGCAGAAGAGTAATATCCAGAATATATAAAGAACTCAAGAACCAAACACCAACAAAGCAAACAGCCCGATCAATAAATGGACAAATGAACAGATGCTTCTCAAAAGAAGTGAAAATGGCCAGTAAGTGTATGAAAAGATGCCCTGTGTCTTTAGCCATTAGGGAAATGAAAATCAGAACCACGCTGAGCTCCCATCCGAATGAGTATCACTAAGAATACGGTAAACAATATCTGCCATCAAGGATGCAAGAGAAAAGGTACTGCTGCTACAGTGCTGGTGGGAATGGAAGTGAGCATGGAAATCAGTGTAGAGGTTCCTCAAAAGCTAAAAACAGAGCATCCATTTGATCTGGCTACACCCCTCCTTGGTGTTACCGTCCATGGACTGTGGGGAAAGCTGCGTGTCCACGCTTACTGCAGCGCAGTCCACTGTAAGCAAGATATGGACCCAGCCTGGACGCCCATCCACACAGAGGGACACATAAGGAAGCTGTGGGCCACATACACAGGACGATTACTCAGCCACCAGGAAAGATGAAAGTCATCTGCAGAAAACAGATGAATCTTGGGCCCATCCCACTGAGGGAATGAGCCAGCATCAGAAAGATACACGTCACATCTTCAACCGAATGGGTGGAATCTGGAAAAGACAAGAAAGCAGAGGGGGACCTGGGAGGGGAAGCCGCAGGGTGTGATGGGGGCCCGAGATGAGCAAAACACACACATTAAGGCTATCCCCAGACAGTGTGGGAAGAAGGGAGGGCCAGGCAAAGCAGGGTGGGGTATAAACAAAACCGCACGCCACATTATGTCATCTGCTGGCTCCAGAGTCTTCAACGGCTTCCGTGTGCACTGTAATAAAATCCCAGGTCCTCACAAGCTTGCAGAGTCACTGTGAACTGGCTCTGCCACTTTTCTAGGGCTCACTGGGCTCTGGGGCTTTCACTTTTCCTGTCCTTCCTAACCCCTGAGAGGTACCGAATTAATGCATAGACACACACACACACACTAAGATCACTGTGCTACTCATTCTATTAGTTCATTGAAAGCAACGTTAGTGCTTATATTGTCTGGTCAATTTTGCACACCTCTCTCTGGTCATCCGAGCAACTATTTTGAAGGCAACAATATGCAATCTAATAGCCACTGTTAAATTCCTATCATCTTACTTTAAAATTATCATTTTTATTGGGGTTTTTTATTATCTTTAAAATAAATATAAATGAAAATAAATGCACCAAACTCTTACTGTACTGTAGAGAAGTCTTACTGCACTGCAGTGCTCTGGTTCACTGAAAAAGTAGCAAAACTGATCTTATGTTCCACTGTCTGGGGCAGAAACTGCTCAAAAAGCGTGGCTCCAGGAGGCCCAGCCACAAACGCAGCAGGCAGGGTCTCCGTATGCGGGAAGGCTGGCAGCCCTGCACCGTCTCCTACCGGGAACAAAATCGCAGTTGCTGCTGGACAGTCAGCGAGAATAAAAGAAGTCTGGGATCAAAGCTTCAGTGTTTTCACCAAACTCAGCGAACAGACAACAGCTTTATGCAATGATCATCACCGCATGTTTAGGAAAACTGCAGTGTTTACCAATCTGCCCGCTAACTGACCTCTCATTCCCAACACTGCAGTGTGGGGAGAGATCCCCATTGCTTCAGACACTCTTCACCCACTCCGCAGCTTCCCGCAGCCTCTATCTCACTCACGTGTGAGTCATTCAAATCGTCAGGTCCCCAGTTTGGCATCTGTAAAAGGCTTTGGGAAGCTTTTGAATAGCAGGCCCTCAAGTTAAAAGCTGTCACCAGGAAATGGGAGGAGAGGGTCATCAGTAAACCATCCTGTCTGTCCTTCACCTCCGGGTCATCAGTGCTACACAAACTCTCTCCCCCAGCCACATCCCTGTCTGCTGAATAGACACCTTGGCTGGGCAATGAGGAGGGAGACCCCACTCAGGCAACAAAGCCAGACAGCCACGCCTCAGTGCCTCACTGAGTTCCTCTTTCTGGACAGAAATGCTCTTAAAACAGTCTGCTGTTACCTCAGGGCTGGCCCAGGGCTTTCAGATAAGCAGGGATCTTCCATCAGTGCAGTTTGCACGGTAAACACACCTCTCTTGGAGCTCTCCCGGAAGGCTTCCCCCCAGCCAGCTATCCCAGCAGACCGGCCTGGCGCTGGCATGCGGGGCAGCTGCCTGGGAGGGGCCCACGTGACTGCAGGTTTGAAGGCCAAAAGGTGGACGTGGGTGACTCTGTCAATAACTTGCCAAGGACAGGAGCAGGGATTCCCTTCACCAAGGCCAGTGATCACTGGACTGCAGGCGGAGCCAGCAGCCTCAGATAATACAACTTCTCCCCACTGGTTTAGCCTCAGATAACACACAGCAGCCTACCTACGCCAGCAGGACGTAAGAGAAACGGGGGGCGGGGGGGGGGGTCCATAGAAAGCACTGTCTGTAGCATGAGAAATAAAAATACAGGGAAGAGAGGTAGGTGGCTGGGAAATTCACTGAACACTTTTATGGGATGTTGGTTGAAAGATATGAAAGCCTCAAGCAGAGGCGTGAGCAAAGATATGACACTTCAGGAGCCATCACTAACTCACGCTGCAGAGCTGGGTGAGTGGGGTGTAGAACCCTCCTTTCCATCTTCAACAGAGTGAGACATTTACGCCAGCAGAGAAAAGTCCACCGAGCCAAACCCGGGTCAGCCTGCCACAGGCTGACCGTGACAGCTGTGTCACTCCTTTTTATTGTTCCTCCTTTTTAAGTAACACCCTTGACTGACTGGGATGCATCTGCAGGTCAACAGGTGAAGCGCTGAGCTGCCGGGCAGCAGAGTTTCTGTGTCTCTGATCACAGGAGCCCTGGTGTCCAGGCTACCGGAGGTAAACAAGCCTTGTCTCCAGTGCTGGACGAATTGGAAACAGAGATATTTAAGGAAAACCAGTTGTCATCAGCACAGCAGAACTGGCCCAACACATGCTACTAAGGATTCGTTCTGTGCTGACAACTTGAAAGAAATGGGGATTTCTGACCTGACAACTGATTACTGCCTTGCTGAGTCTTGGAAGGTCTCCACGTAGGAGAAAGGAATAATAATTTTAAACCGGGTGTGGTAGTATATACCAATAATTCCAGCGCTAGGGAGGCTGATGCAGGAGGATCGCTTTAAGTTTGAGGCCAGCCTGGGCTTCATAGTGAGTTCAAGGCCAGCCTGAAATACACAGCGAGAACTTGTCTCAGAAAGAAAAGAGAACAAGAGAATAATAATTTTAAAGGCTTGCATTTGTAAGGAATGTCCTCCTCACAGAGAATTGCCTGTCTTCTATGTCCCGGCCCAGCAGACCAGCTGAGGAGCTGAAAGACAGAGATAAGTCCAGCTCCTGGCTGGGGACCGGCCCTGTGGTCCAGAGTGTTCTGGCTCTCGAGTGGCCTTCAACCTGACTCCAGAGAAGGCAAAGTGACACCTGGCAGTGTATGATACAATTACCATGTTGCTTTAGATCACATTTTGTTTCTAACAAGTTACACAGCGAAGTAGAAAAATATGCTCAAAAAATACCCCGAACAGTCTCAGATCTCCTGATACAAGCAGGTGCACTTCAGAAGAGCGCCCAGCTTTCCCTTCTTCCTCCCTCACTCTTCCCTGTTTCCTCTTTGGTATCCAAATCCCTAACCTCTGCATTTTCAACCAGAAAACCCTCTGAAGAACTGCAGCGTGGCGTTTGTCACCACAGCTAAGTCAGTGCATGATGTTTGCCTCCCTGAAAGGTGGGAAGATCAAGCCAGCACTGACTTAATATTTTCAAATGATTTTTGAATTCGCAGACTGCGGAGAGAGAGAACCAGGCCTCACCAGGAAGTGAGCCCTGCCTGGAAACCGTGTGATTTTAATTGTTTCATTGAGCTGGGGTTTTCTTTTCTTTTGTTTTGTTTAACTCTGATGGTTCGAGCAGCTATTTGAAAGATAGCAAGACACATCGTGGAAGCCACTATGTATTTACTCCTGGCATGTTTTGATGTCCTTTATTGCATTCATCGTTTTGTTTTTATTACTTTGTTTCTATTCTGTTCTGTTCAATTTTTACCATGTCCGAAGGTATCTGCAGCTATTTTGAAGACAACAAAAGCACTGTGGTCGCTACTGTTGCTGTCGTAAGGTTTGGAAGTCCTGTATCAATTATTCTGGTTTATTCTGATTGATTTTATTCTGTTTTATTTTCCTTGGTTTTTTCCACTTTAAAATAAATAAATAAATAAAATGATTTTTGAGATGTAAGCAGAAAAAGGTGTCTTCAAAAAAAAGATAAATTGAGATTTTTTTTTCAAACTTATTATTCTTTTAGTTCCAAAACAAAAAAGTAGACACGCCATTAATCCTACATGGTGAGACCATCAGACTACTGATGAGCCTTCTGTCTTTGCCCCTTCTTTTCAGCTTTTATTTTTAGTAGTTCATATTTTTCGTTGTTTTCTTTTGGTACCGGGGATCCAACTCACAACCTTGCGCTTACCCTGCAGGTGCTCTTGCCACTGAGCTAAGTCCCGGCCCAGCCTTTTGTTAGTCCATGCTGGTAGCGCGTGTTTACATCCCTGCGTGGAGTTGGCAGTGTGTACACAACATACCTAAGGGCTCTTTCCACCCCATCTACCCTTCCTTCTCCTGTTCCCCTTCCTGCCTGAGAAAGATCTATTCCCTATTTTATGCCCTTTATCTTTTATTTTGTACTTTATTCTCTTACATGAGAAACCATCCAGTATTTAACTCATGGGTCTGATTTATTTCACTGGACACTCACTGTGGCCTCCAGGTGCATCCGCTTTCCTAAGGATTCAAGTTCATCCTGCTTTACAGCAGAGTAGTGCTCCATGGGTATACAAAAACATTACATTTTCTTTATCCATTCAGCCGTTGATAAATTCAGAGGCCGCTTCCAAGATCTTAACTAGCATGAACTGTGCTACATACAAGGGTTTCAGTCTTCGGTTCCCCGAGGTTTCCACATCAACACCCATGAAATTAGAACAATCTTCTCTTCCTTCAAATTTTAAGAAATAATGCACGCAGGTGCTGATAGCCATGTCTGCTCTCCACTCTCTCTGAGCTTCCCAGAAGAAGCAGAAGCGAAGACAGAGGAGAGGGGTGTGGAGGAGAGGAGTCAGACTCCCCCATCAGATGCCCCACAGCCTCTCCGGTGCCCGAGCACTGGTGCCCGTCCACAGCTGGGAGGCAGCCACCACTCCAATCTCTGATCCCAGTCCCTGATCCATGCAGACGCTCCCTGCACAAGGTTGGCCCTAGCAGTACTCAGCCCTTGGTCTGCAGGTCCTGTGTACTCACTGACAGCCATGGGTTGAAAATATTTGAAGACAATCCAGGCAGAGTGGCACCCACTTATAACCTCAGCTCTGTGGGAGGCTGAGGCAAGAGGGTTGCAAGCTGGAGCCCAGCCCAGGCAACTTGGTTAGAGCTGTCAGGAAATGAAAATTAAAAGCCTGGGGCCTGGGACTGTAGTTCCCCATACTGGAAAACAGAAACTGTCTATACTGAATATGCAGAGTTTTTCTTGTCATTTTTTTCTTAAATATGCAATGTGCCACTCAGCATTTACATTATTTCAGGTATTGCTAGCCATTTAGAGAGGATTTAAAATATACAAAATAGCGGACATAGTTACAGGAAGATACTATGCCCTTTATTCATTTATTTTGGCTTTTTAAAAGCAGGGTCTCACTACATGGTTAACACTGGCCTCAAACTCACAATGATCCTCCTGCCTCAGTTTCTCTGTGTCCTGGGATGAACCACCATGCCCAGCCTTACTGCAGCATTTTAGGGACAGGACTTGGTGGCCAGAGGCATCCTGGAACTCATCCCCATGGAGGCCCTAGGGAACACTCTATGTCCCTCTCAGCTTGCAGAATGGCCCTTGGATGCTTCAGTCCAGGAGTGTCACATTGTAACTCCTGAAAAGTCTGCACTTTCCCCAGAGTGGTGTCTTGGTTACTTTTCTCTTGCTAGGACAAAATACCCAACACCCATACTGAAAGAAGGAAAGGTTTATTTAGCTCCAAGTCTGTGGAGGTTTCAGTCCATAATCAGCTGGCTCCACCATAGGATGGCATGGCACAGGGGCAACACTTCAAGGTAGCTGAACACAGCAAAAGCAGCCAGAGCATGAAGGCAGGGAGCCAGTCTCTTCTCCTCCCTTACATTGTACACAGGCCACACACACACACACACACACACATATATCCAGGTACCCGTAGACTCACAGAATCTCCTTGCAGTCCTAACGCACAGGAAGAAGATGTTTACAAAGTCAAAATCCTGGCTCCCTGCTGAGTCTCTCAGTTCAGCTTCTAAACTCCCCAGGTTGACACAATGTATCAACCGTGACAACTGCCTAACAGGGGGCTGCTGCACAGTAAGGTGAGCAGAGGAGCAGATGAGGAGGAGCCCAGGACCACTACTGTGGTGCATGGAGCTGAAGCTGGAGCTGCCACCACTGGCCTGGAAATCCCCCTTCTACACACTCATCCTGGGAAGTAACTGGCCAAGCAAGGAGCCAGTTCACCAGCACAAAAGCTGCAACGGGAACTCTCAGGAGCCACTCGGATCCCAACAGGAGTGATCTATTAGTGGAACACAGCTCCAACAGCTACCAGGGGAGTGGGGGCTGGATGCATGCTCAGGAGACCCGAAACAGCAACAGAAAAGAAAGTAGTCTGTGCTGCCTTGGAAAGACGACCCGTCCTAGTTAGAAATAAAAAACAGAGTCCACGTATGACAGCCCAGTGTGTGAAACAAAAGAATCGGGTTTTCCCCACAGAACGCACAAGAACCTGTGATTTCCAGTGAGTGACTGAAAGAGTTACAGGTAAATAAACAGGATCCTCAGAGTCATGCAGACCAGCCACGGATCTTCGTGAGAACCTGTTGCATTGCCCTGGGCAGGCTGGGGCCAGAGAGGGGGACAGAGCCAGTAGCTTCCTGTGGCTTCGTGTGCAAAGCTCAGACTCCTGGGCACCTGCGGGAGATGCCTGGAGAGCCCAGAGCAGTGTTGTCCTTACATCAGCCAGGCTGTTTGTAAAAGAACTAAAACTTTTATGCCTTTTTCTCCCCCCTCCCTTGCTGGCCACCCACACGGCAGTGTGATCAAGATCGTGTCATAGGAGAGAGAAGGGAGACTGCTCTTATCTGCTGCCTGCTCCTCATCTGGACAGGGCTGGTGGGAACTTCATTCATCAGCCTGATCAATCTCCGCCCCAACGTCTTAAAAATGCACAGAGAAA